TTTCCAATCTGTGTATGTTTTAATTGAATAACTACATCGATCTTATTTTCATAAGCTTTTACATGCTTTTTTTACTTGAGAATCATTCAAATCTAAATTCATTTAATAAGAATTAAAATTATAAAATTAAATAAATCCCATGCCAAAATATCTCTGCTTTCATTGCATTTTTGGTGACAAAAGCAGCTGTTTTTTCACCTATAGATGCATTTGAATCTAAAAATCTATCCCATGCTTTATTTTYCAAGATTTTATCTCCAATATGTCTTGTTTTAATATCTTTATGTTTTTTATAAAAATAATCATGTTCCATTGCTGCCATATCTAGTTTATTTACTGGTTTTTTATTTTTTCTAAATCAGTAAAAGGACCAAGATAATTATAACCAGGCCAATGTATTTCTGGCATAAATTTACTGTTTAAAAGATTATTCATAATACCTGATCCTTCTACAATTTTTTCAAGCAAACTTGTTACATAAGATATTAAATACTCAATTCCTTGTGAGGTATTAACTATTCTTTCTAATTCAGAAGTAAAAAAATGAACAATACTAATTTTTTCATTATGAAAATTATTATGCCCTGCTTTTTCTTCACTAGCAATAAAATATAATCTCTTTAATAATTAATTTATAATTATTTATATGTATAATTCATTTCTGAATACTTTTTTAAATCTCCTTCTTTTTCTTCATCTTCTTTTGGTAATCTTTTTTTTTTTCCTTTTTGGCCACATTTTCAGGTAAACTATGCCAAATAGGTTTAATCATTTTCAAATATTTTTCTCCTTTGCTTGATTTAACAAACCCAGTTTTTTTATCATTATTTTGATACATTGAATCAATCTGAATTAATATATCTTTATAATTGTCAAAATCTGTCTCTGTATAATAATTAGTGGTTGCATACACAGAATAACATAATAAATTCAATAATCCTGTTGTTCCTTCATATGTTTTTCCATTTATAATTAAATTATCATCATTAAATTCTACTACATCTTTTCCAATCATATATTGTTTATTATGAGTATTATAATATAATCCAAAAACTGAATCATTAATTCGAGGTAA